TTCATAAGGCAACGGGCTTCTCTCTCCTGCGTGTGGAACGTGTTCTCTATAAAAAGATAGCTGGAGGGAGGAACGTGGAAAATGAAGTGAAGGCAGCTAGGGCTCTGCTCTCAGCAACTGTTAGGAAGGGGGTTGCCTCTGCAGTTCCTGGACAGCAAGCAGCTTTGTGGTTGCAAATGCTGGACAGTATTTTTGGAGAGCTATGGAAGAGATTGGAGTACTTGATGATAATTTCTGGCACACCAAGTAAGGAAAAACTACTCTACTTTTTGTCCAAGAGAATCTGGAGTTCTGCTAGAATGCTTTTTTTTTTTTTTTGCTAGGATCTTCAGAGCCTGATTTAGCAGAAGTACATGCTTATTTTTAAACCTAATCCTGTCCTACTTCATTGTCTGAACTCATAGTTCAATTCTGCCAACATTCATGGACTTCGGCGAGCACTAAAAATTTAAGCGGATGCCAGAACGCTTTAATGACCACTCGCTCGGATGTTTGGAGGATTTATCTATCCCCATCCAGGGACAGTGTGAATCAGAAAAGGGCAACAAGATAGGTTGCATCTTAGCTGCTCCATCTGTGGGACAAGGAGAGACTTATCCCTCTGTTTTCCTCCCTCCTGTCACCCGTGCCTACAGCAGCGTAGTCTGTGAACATGCCGCAAAGGCCCACATGGAAGGTGAGATGTGCAGTCCAGGTAATCAGTGTGGTGACCTCTTGCAGTCTTGTTACGGTTTGGCACTCGGATCAGTACCCTGCTGGTGGTAGGCCCAGGTCACAAGTCCGTGGAGCACAGAGATCATCAGCATCACCAAACGCCCAACGGGTCAGGCCTTTCTCCATCGTGTTTCTTTGCTGTATGCTGTTTAGGACGTCCCCGGTGCAGCGTCAGCCAGGTGTCAGAAGTCACCGGGGGACAGCAGAGGCCAGCTCCGCAGGGTTGGCGTGGTGGTGGAGACACGCTTCCAGGCCAACGTGCCTAAAGCCTTTGCCTGAACCTAGGCACTCATGCAGTCCAAACCCCAGACAGGCTTCAGTGCAGGCTTGGAGCCGCAGGGGGGAGGCGTAAAGTATGCAGCTTAATCTCCTCTTTGCTGGCAGAAAAGCAACAGCAATGAAGCGAATTGTGCCTTCCCTTGCAGGGGTGTCAATCTGGTGCGTCCATTGACTCTGCTGCTTGATGAGGGTAGAATAAGGCATGGTTGGCTGAGAAATGAAGCACGGTTAAAAACAGCAGCCTCCCTTTTTAGAAACTAAAGCGGCTCTGCTGGCTATTAGGCATCCTTTTAATTGGCAACCTTGCTCCTGTTAAATGGGTTCCTTCTGCCATGGGATAAAACGTCTCGTTTTACTGCGTCGGACGCT